CAACCGAGAGGTGTTCATGCTAAAACAATTTTTCCACACTTACCCAACAAACATCTCCATCAAACATCAACCTTGCTTTTAAACCAGGAAAAACAACAACATTCAGACGTGCAAATATACCAAAAATCAGTCCAAGAAAATGCAATCATGCAAGTTCATGCAAAGTAGTGCAAAACAAGTTTCTGCAAATTTTCCAGCCATGTTTCCTGCAATTCTTGTATTCATTCTAATGCCATTTTCCATCCAACCCAAGCTAATATTTTTAACCCAAACATCAAAGCCTCGATTCCAAAACAACAAAATCACAACAATCAACGTCCAAAACAGACCAAAAATTGGGCACTTACTCCATTTAACACTGAAACTCAACATCAAAGTTTACACAAGCAACAAGAAACGAAGAAGCAGCAGTCAAGGCAACATTAAAACAGACTTGCCGAAACCTCATGCTATATTTCTGAGTTATGTTTGTTCAGCATACAAACATTAGCCATAAATTCAAACAAGATGCAAGAAGCTGATGGCTTTTAGCTCTAAGTTTCTATCAAAAGATTTTGAACAGAATTTTGGCAGCAGGACATTCATGACCTCTCAGTCAAGCCGCGCATACAACAAACGTCAAACGAACCACCATTTCAGCCACCAAGGAGCACAGACAATCAAAGCAAGACTCGGAACAAAAACAAACAAAACCAAAAAAAGAAACTTACAGTGCTTGTATTCTCCCTTGGTGAAGATCCGTGACTGATGTTGGCTTAATGAGATGATAACAGCTTCTTGTGAGGGTCAACAGTCCTAGTACCTTCTTCGTTCCTTGAGGAAACAACACCAGATCTCTCTTTCTTTCTCCTTGCTGTCTCGTTTTGCCTTGCTTCCCCTGGTTTCTGGATTTTTCTTTTGCTCTCCCCAAAGCTCCTCCGTCCGCCGCCCATTTCTTTCTTTTCTTTCCCTTGGTTTCCAGACGAAGTTTTTCTCTGCTTTTTCCTTTTGCTTTTGCTTTCTGGCCGCTCCTCCCTTTCCTCTTGGTCTCTCCCTTTCTTACTCTCCCTCTGCCCTCTGTTTCACCGTCACCCCCAGCTCTTTCTCTCTCGGTCATTTTCAGTTTTTGTTCCAGCAGCCGCCCCTCACTCTTAGCTCTCTATCTCCCGGCTCTTTCCCCCAGCTCTCTTTTATGTTTTTTTTTTTTTGCTCAAACCCCAGCCGTCCCTCTCTCTGCTTTCCTTCTCCGCCGTCAACTTGGATCCTCTTTCAATCTCCCCAACTTCATAGCTTTATATAGGCATCTATCATCCCTCAACCTAGCATCTACGGTCCCCTTTTTCTGCATTTTCTGTGACCCTCCGTGAGCCATTAGATGGCTTTTGCATTCCAGGATTTTGAGTTGCCGGATGAAGGGTCAGATCCTTGTACTATGCTAATCCGATGGAGCAAAATATTGAGCAAAAATGTCCGGAAAACCCACTGGAAGAAAACTGTATTTTTGTTTCTTGCATTCTGGCATGCCGCGTATTTTTGTTTTTTTTTTAGAATAATAATTTAACAAAATCAATAATAAAGCTAAGTAATAAAAAACAACAATTTAAGTAACATCACATCAAAATATACAAACTAAAAACAACAAAGTTGCCATTTTCAATCTTTTTTCTTCATTTTTCACTTTCATCTTTTTTCTTTTCTTTTTTTTCTTTTTTTTTAATCAAATTAGTAAATAAAATAAATGCTCGTAAACGAATTAAAATACGATAAGAGGCACGAAACAGGAAACAACCAAAATAAACCTAAAATTGAAACAAATAAATCTAAAATTAAACTAATTAAAAAAAAATAAAATTCGAAACCAAAAATTTGGTGTCTACATATATTATAAGAATACTTTATATTACAATGCGCATATAGTAATATACTTAAGAAAGGTTATAATAAAATATACATTAAGTTTGTGTTTCATATCGACATTTTTATAAAATTGACTAAATAGTTTATTATTTTTCAAAAATTTCCGTTCAACGAACGGGTACAAAACTAGTTTTGACATAAAAAGACACAAATATTGACATAATCTTAAACTTTTAGCTTTTCCTTTGCAAATACCATGTTTTAACAAAAATATTTTAAGTATTTCGATTTGAAATGTTTATGGATGGGTCAAATGACTAGTGTATAAAAATAAAGTAAAAAGATGCATTTAATATTGTGTTAGTAATCATTTGAATTTTATAAACAGCCATTCCTTCATATAAATTTTGTATTAATTTTTATGTTCTCTCCTATGGAAATGGATGTTTTTCCTACTGCGAACCTTTTATGCTTATGTGAAATCCTGTTCTTTAGTAGTGAGGAAACAATGAAATAATTGGTGGGAGGGAAACACATGCACAGTGAAAAGAGAGGAACATACACTATTATTAGAGGGAAAAAAATACACAGCGAATGGTGGGAAAAGCATCACTAATGCCTGGGGCCCATTGCGTAAATGAGAAAAACGTTAGCTTAGGGGACCATTGAGCTGAACAAAAAAAAGGTACAGCTAACACACAAAAAGTTTGGTCAGTAGGAGAGGCGGCAGTCCATATCCACTGCGAGCTTTACTTCATCGCCGAAACTGTGGGAAAACAACAGCAGATTTTTGTTGCAGTGGTGAGCGGACGTGCGAGATTCATTGCTACCTTGCCGTTTGCAATCATGTAAGTATTCAAATATTTTGAATCCTAGTTATACGGCTACTAGTTATTCAAATATTCAAAAAAATTTACCACTGAATCCTAGTTGTTTTGTCTCCAGGGTACAATAAAAAGATGAAGTTATATGACTACACCCACATTCTGTGCTTCACCAATCAACAATGCCAGTTGATGCTGCTACATAGCCATCAGCAACACAACCTGGTGGTTTATCCACTTGTCCAACATGGTCACTTCAAATGTAAACTACCCTGAATCCAACACGATTACATACAAATTTATTGTCTACTGCATATGCCAAATCCAAAATATGCGATGATGTTGCTAAATACCTAATACAAGGAAGTGCCTGGTGAATTGAGTAGGTGTCCAAAAAAGCCATCCACACTGTTCGGTCCACCCTAATGCAATTAAAATAATGGTGGTCAATTGATAAACCCCTTAACATGGTACACGAATAACACAATGAATGTACTAATACGGCTTTGCATGTATTAGTAGCAATTATCCATTCCTTTTGTTTTTCTTCTCCTACCACATTCGCTATTGCCGCCTCCGTGTCCTACAACCAATTGCAAAGGCAATGTAAGCACATGCACTCCGATAAGCGTACACTGTAAATGGGAAATATTTAAAGGAAGGACACAATATGTGTTCACATGATTCCTTATCACGTCAATCTTGACACAAACCAATACAAATTATCCTTAACGCCAAATGTCATCATATTATGTTCATTGCAATAGCTTACTTCAAAGTTTAACATAATAATCGAACACATTGTCAACTTGATTACTATTTAATGATAACATTTGGATATTACTTTGGGGGATGTGAACAGGAATTTTGTGTAGGGAAACACAGCAACATGGGTAAGAGGGGATGTATTTAGATCGTAGTCGTGATATTGCAGGTAGTATACATTCCAACCTCATGCCTAACAACGCTCTCCATTGCTCCCTGCTGGTCTTGTTTTTTAGGCAGACTGTTTTGGCCAGTAGATGTCATCCCCGTATTGCTTTGTTGTGAAAGGGTACTGCAGCTAGCGTTTGCATGACCACATCCTTGGCTGTGGCTTTGCGCTTTGATGACCTGTTTCGGCCATATCCTCTTCACCTGCTTCAATAACAAAATATGCGACTCAACTCGCCACTCACCCTTTTTGTACCATATGTGTAACGTATGGTATGTATGGCTATATATGTATAGACAGTTTGAGTGTGTACAGAAGTGCATTAAAAATCAACTGATCCAGTAATACCTCACCGACATTCTTGCTTGTCTCCCTTTCCCTCGACCCAACTCTTGTGATGCAATGACTTCGGGGTCTATAACCTATTCCCTTTCACCCATAGGTTCACTGCTCCCTTGAACAACTGCATGGCCTTCACCTCTATGGCTCTTCAACTGTCGAACTATCTCATTCTGAAACAATTTCAATGCATTTGCGAATCGATTGGCTGTCTTGCATGCATGCATGCATAATCCATTAGCTGCCGAAACTAGTGTAGAATATTTGGGCATCTCTGTTAGGCGAGGGCTGGTTGTTTAGTCTTCCTGAATACTAATTACCTCTTCTTTTGCCTGTCGAGTCCACCTGTTCATGATATAGTTAGGGGGGATCCTCTTCAATTCCTCAAATAGCATTGCACGAAACATGTGATAACAAAGCAAGCCACGCGTTTCCATTTTCAAGCATGAGCACTTTATATGTCCGGTGGACCTGTTATAGGCCATAGTATAATATGAGTATTGGTAGAGGTGTTTCATGAAATGGACGAAGGTGATGCCATCATCCGTGCCATTAATCCTACAAAATAGCCCTTACTTCTTCATTTCCTTACGAACCACAAGGAATATGGACCTGGTAAAAACATCAATTGCATGTTTTTCCAACGCATGTAATTGTGTTGCTGGCACAAGAGAAGTGTGCTCTATCATGGCTCTACGACGCCTCTCCTTATGCTTCAAATGGGTTACAACCAAGTCATATGTTTGAAGGCACTCAAAAAGCTTCAATTAGGGGAGAGGGTAAGATGTAACTTTAAAATTTGATGCATTTTCTCACACCGTTGGATACTCCGCATACTGCCAAAGAAGTTGCCTCTTAAGAAAGCCATACATCATAGTTCCCTCTTCCGGTGCATCTTCTGAATTGATTCGTTATCTTCAAACCCAAAACGGCTAACAACCTTTGCCCACCTCGTTTCAAGTTTGTCCGGTGTACAATTCATAAACATGCATGTCTTGAACGGCTCCAGGAAGTCTTTATCTCTTATATTTGTGGATGCATTCATCTGCAAATGGAAGCTGCAAAGTCTATGCATTAGCCGTCGGCATGAATTTTTTAATGGACTTTTGCATAGACTTGTCCCCATCAGTTACAACTGCTATCAGTTTCCTCCCGTTCATTGCTTCCAAGAATGTACAGATTACCCAATCATATCCCTCATCTCCTTCACAAACGATCAGAGCACAGGCAAAGATGCATGTTGAGTAGTGATTGTTCACCCCACGTAGGACAACCAATGAAAATTTGTAGTGATTGGTATTATAGGTGCTGTCAAACACAAACACGTCACCAAAACATCTATAGTCATCTCTAGACCCTGAATCAGCCCAAAGCAGCCGATTCAGACGGCTATGGCCATCTACTGCATATTTGAAATATAAATTGAGATCACCACCTTGCTTGCCTGACAAGAATGCGATTGCTGATTCACCATCCCCATGAGCAACTGCTATTTGCCTTTGCCGATTTAGCTCATTGTACATATCTGTTATATGGAATCCTAAGTTATGATAGCCTCCAGCCTGTACAGCAAGTAGCCTCATTATGTGATTTGGTCTTATGCCAGCTTGTTGCATAACTATTGCCTGATGTAAGTCCAACTTCCTAATCTTCCTATGTGACCTCATGAACTACACACTTTCAGGACTACACAAACGGTGGCAATGTCCACTAACAAATTCTGCAACAACGTACTTCTGTTTCACATGATCAAATCAAATTTTGAAACATGCTTAACAGTTTACTCTTGTTATTGCCTTTGGTTCCCTTATTCGATCCCTTCTATTTATGTGCTTTTCATGTCTTTCGCCTTCCTTCTTACAAACCCATGATCTGAGACGGACAATCCCATTCTTATCTTTTCTCTTGTAGCCTTTGCGCACCCTAGTACCGATTGCTCTTGGGTACAGTATATAGAACGATTCCGTTTTTTTAGTACTTTCAAACACTATGCTACATACATCTGCATCATCAATAACACCAAATGCGGCTATTTCATTTCCCCCACATTTACTGACATGCTCCCCTGCGTCCCCTTGCCCTGTTACCCTATCTGCTGTGCAACACGTTGTCGAATTTATAATTTTGCATCTATTACCATTGTCTTCTACTTTGTCATTCAAGGCAATATACCGGCTGCTTGATGCTTGTCCTATAGCCATTTCCATTTTTAGTGCGGATGTTATCTACCATTCAGAATAACTGTAACCCATGTGCCACTCCTCCCAAAATTTATATGGAGCATTCCATAATGCTTCCATCTACAAAATTGATAATCCAAGCACCCCCAACCAGTTAATCCCAACTGTGTTTGCAGTTGCCCATCAGTCTAATGTCATATCAAAGATGGTCTTAACAAATTATAATGGCACGCTTATTAACCAATAGGTTCGATGCTATACATTTGAATGCTTTCAGTTATTATGCATCAGGACTTATGTAACACTATTTAAAATGCTTATCCTAGGCAAATTCTAGTACTAATGAATATTTGGTACTGCAACACAAATAAGTAATCGTTAGTACTCTATCCAAAAGGCTCCAACCAGTACATGAACCACAGAGCAAAGGTTGTCATGCAGTTGAACATTTGTGTCAATAGTCAAATATTATTATTACTTCTTCAAGCAATCATATGACTAGGACTACTGCTAATTGTGCTTAATTAATACCGGCCATCTTTCCCTAAATTATACAAATTAATAATCATTCCAAATTATATGATATGTGAATTATCAGAAGACTTGAGTACACAAATGATTTGGGCCATCAATTTGTATATTCAACCTCCTTAGGTAACTAATTAACTGATAAATATCCCATCATGCAGAGTCCAGTACCCATTTGCAATTGCAGTCAACAACCTCTTCATTTCCTACATACCCAACCAACTCAATCAATTTTATTTTGACAAAACGAACAAAAAAAGGTTAGGGTAATTAGATAACATCACTCTATTCCGGTTCTGCTTACTCTAACAAAAGCCCCAACTAACTTGCCTGTGATTCTATTCTAAATACTTTTTTTTTGTTTACACGGGAGAGGTCGACCCTCTTAAGTAGGGACAAAACGTGGGGTCACAGCCCCCAAAATGTCTGCTCCAATCAATTCCCACAATTCCTGTTGAAGTTCAGTTAGAATCTGCATTCCTTGTTCATTGTTAACACTCCTTTTAGCCAGCTAGTATGCACACCTATTCCCTTCTCTCCAAATATGTTGTTGTCTACATTCCCAATCCCTACGTGTGTAATTCTTGATGAGAGGTATCAGATTGGATAATGGTGATTCCGAACCTGCTCCTTGTATTAGATCCAAAGCTGCCTTTGAATCAGTTTCCAAAATCACTCTTCGTTCCCCAGAGTTCCAAGCCATTTCTAACCCCTTAAGTATTCCCCATAGTTCTACTATCATATTATCAGTTAGCCCAAGACTCACTTTAAAACCAGCTTTCCACCTCCCCCAACTATCTCTGAGGATACCTTCGGCTCCTGCCCTTCCAGAGGTACGGTTTGCAGCTCCATCCATATTCATCTTGCACCAACCATCTAGAGGTCTTTCCCATCTGATAAACTTTACCTCTTTTCTCCCTAGATCATCTGCCCTAAGTAACGCTTCTTTGGCTTGCCCTACGCGTCTGTAAATCTCTTCCTTCTTGATATCTAATTTCTGCTCATATCCTGTGGCACAGAAGGAATTTCTGGCTAACCATGCAAGATACACAATCTGTTGGAATATCAGCTGCCATTCCTCTTTCCCTTCCCCTCAAATTCTTCCATCCTTTAAATTCCAATCCACCCAACTCTGCACTGGTTTGTTCAAACACTCCTCCCATCTATTTTGCCTGACAAAATGTTTCTATATGCTCTTTATCCATCTGCAGTCACGGATAGCATGGATGGTTGATTCAACCACAATTTCACATATTGGACAGCAAGGGTTTCGGCTCAGCTTCCTTTTGGCCTTTTCCTCTTACGTTAATAGTTTACCATGCCTCACTAACCAGAGTAGAAACTGCCATCGTCCTGGACCTTGTGTTTTCCATATCTTCTTCCAGCTTGCTGACTCCTCCAACTCCTTCTCTAACCAAGTCAATTCGTATGCCGATCCGGTGGTGAATACACCCTTTGGCTCAAGTTTCCAATAGAGCCGGTCAGGGTTTATTGCGCCTAGGGAGGATATAAAAGCCTATGAGCTTCTGTATCTACACTGGTTTTAGCCAAGCTCGAAGTTTATCCATATTCCAGCCATTGGTGTTCCAGTAGTCCTTTACCTTTTTCTCCACTTCTTCCTCTAGAATTTCCCCCTCTATCTCATCCAATAGTGGAACATCCTCTAACCACTTATTCCTTCAAAATCGTATTGTCTCTCCATTCCCAATCCTCAACTGTACTCCCTTCTCAAGTAATTCACTACACTTTGCAATGCTCTTCCACACATGGGAATCCCTAATCCTAGACGAACACTTGATTCCTGTTATACCTTTGCCATACTTTCCCTTAACCATATTCCCCCACAAAGCCTGCTCATCCTTAAACAGCCTCCAGCTCCGTGTAGCAAGCATTGCCATATTCACTTTCCTCATTCTTCTAATCCCTAAACCTCCCCTCTTTTTTATTTGAGTCACTGTATCCCAGTTGATATGGTGAATCCTCCTGTTCTCCTCGTTATCCCCCCAAAGAAAACCTCTAGCATACTTCTCTAACTCGTCCAGCACTAATGCTGTCTGCATGTGGTACATTGGTATAGCAGACAAGACTGACTTAACTAGAGTGGCTCTCCCTGCAAAGGATAGACTTCTTTTTTTCCAACCAGCTAGCTTCATTCCGACACGGTCCAACAAAGGTTGAAACATGCCTTTAGTAACTCTTGAGTGAAGAAGTGGAACTCCTAGGCACTTTCCAAGATTCTTTGTCTCGTTTACCCCTATAATCTTACTTATCTCCTTGACTACCGTGTTTTTTACATTCTACGAGCAGAAGAACTTGGTTTTATCTATGTTGATTTTCTGTCCTGAGATACCACAGAATTCTGCCATGATGCTATGAACTATTTGACCTTGTAAAGGCGTGGCTTCTGCACACAACAGTAAGTCATCTGCAAACATTTGGTGAGTTATCATCGGTCCAGCTCTTGATGTCTTCACTCCTCTCCATTGTTTTCCCTTCATGGCCTGCAAGATTAAATGACTCAGACGCTCCATGCACAATACAAAAAGATACGGTGAAAGGGGATCCCCCTGTCTCAAGCCCCTAGACGGTACAAAACTCTCTGATTTTTCCCCATTCCATAGAATTGTAGTTGCCTTCACTTGTACACAATTCATAATTGGCTTGATTAGCTCTTGAGGAATACCAACCCATTCCAAAGTCTGATGTAAAAAATCCCACCTAACTCTATCGTAAGCTTTTTTCAAATCTATCTTAATTATCATAGCACTCTTTTTGCCCTTCATCTTCCTCATTGTGTGTAATAGTTCTTGGATAATTATCACATTATCACACGATTGCCTCTCAGGAATAAAACTTGCCTGTTCTGGACCCACTAACTCATTTAGCAAGGGCCTCAATCTGTTGACAATTACTTTGGTCACTACCTTGTAATTCACATTACATAAAGAAATTGATCTCAAATGTTCCACGACTTCCGGACTCTTCACTTTTGGTATAAGGGATATCAGCACGCTATTCACTCCAGGCGGTAGCTCCTTCCTCCTGAAGATTTCCTGCACCCATTTGACTAGTGAGCGTCCTATTTTTGACCAACATCTCTGATAGAAGCCCGTACACACTCCATCCGGTCCAGGTGCTTTATTGCTTCCCATATCAAACAATGCCTTCTTGACTTCCATTTCGCTAACCCCGGTGTGTTAAAAAGCTTTTCTGCCTATTAGTTAAACCCTTGAAACCATTAGCACCCCCTCTATTCAAAGGCTGAGCATTCTCCCTACTATATAAATTTTTGAAAAATCTACCACAATGTCTCTTACCAACTCCCTATCTGTTTGCCACCGGCCCTCCTTGTCCTTGAGGCTCAGAATTTCATTGCATTTTTGTTTTATGATTGTAGAGAGATGGAAGAATCTGGTATTCCTGTCTCCACACCTCTACCATGTCACCTTTGATTTTTGATACCAAAACACCTCCTCTTGTTTATACTCTGAAATTAATTTTTCCTCTAACTTTTCCAAATATTTCGATTCTTTTTGAGAAAGTGTCTTCTATATGCCATTTAACCTTGCTAAGCATCTTCTCTTCCTATGGAAAATGTTCCCAAAGACCTCCGTGTTCCATATTTGAAATCTCTTTGAGAGTTTCACCAAGTTCTGTAGTAAATCGTCCTCCATCCCCCAGCATCTCTCAATTTCTTCCATAAAACCTGGATGGGTCATTCAAGCCAACTTGAATCTAAAAGGCTTAGGACCTGCTGGTTTCCTGCCTCTGATAGCATCCTCCAACAATAAGGGGTGCTGATCCGAGTGTGCCGGGGCCAGATGTGTAACTGCTGCTTCTGGAAATTGAAGTCTCCAGTCCTCATTACATAGTGCCCTATCTAAATGTTTCCTAACTCTTGCTCCTCCTTCCCAAAGATTGTTCCACGTCAAGGGTGGACCATTAAACCCAAAATCAATTAACTCACAGCTATGAATACAATCCCAGAGCCTATTTTCACCGACTCTCCTAAAAACTTGTCCGCCATTTTTTCATCTGCTTCTACTATCTCATTGAGATCCCCAATAATCAACCAGGGATAGTTTATACGGGATCCTACCAATTTAAGATATTTCCATAACTCTCGACACAAACCCCTATCGGGTAATGCATAAATTGCAGATAGTAGCCACTCCCGTTGAGAGGCATCCCGGACCATCGCGTGAATGAATTGCCAGTTTGTACCTATTACTTCAATCCCCAACTCTAAGCTGTTCTAGAACATCCAAATGCCTCCAGAGAAATCGACTGCCTCTACACACATCTTGCTATCATAGTGGAAACTACTCATAATTCTCGTCGCCTTTTCACTCGCTATTCCGAATACTTAACTTATCGTTCAACTTTGACATTGTAACACCTTACCCTAATGTTACAACTCAACGCACCACAGGTTGATGATTCGGCAAAAATTTTGTTGTGCACAAATACAAATTAGGGCAACAAAGTTTGGGGAATTA